CGAGGACGAGGATGACGATGAGGATGCGGATGACGATGATGATGCCGCTGATGATGACGATGCTGATGGTGATAATGATCATGATGATGATGTTGTTGTTGTTGATGATGATGATGATTATGGCCCCGCTCTCCAAAGTGGGTCGGAGCCGAAGCGCTCACGCCCGCCACATCTTTCCGTTGCCGTGCCACCGATGCCCGCGCAACACTCCCACGCGTGCGAGCGGCAAACACCACTTCCCACATACGGCGCCACGCACCTAAACTCCTCCAGGCAGCACACAAACGGTGTCCTTCCCACGCGCCCGGGGGCGCGCTGCGCCGGCGAGGGTAAAACACCCCTACGCATCAGGCGCAGGTCCAGTGGGCCACCCGACGGGGCACGTGCCCATGTGGCCAGGACCAGGCGGAGCGCGTGCTACGTGTACGGCGCGCGACACAGGGCACGCAGGGAGGCCGTGCTCCGCGCGCCCTGTTCGGGGCAGGGGGCGCCGGAGGCCGTGGTCCGACGCCCAACCTACCCACCACCCACTCCATGGGTGGTCGCTGGCGACGTAGGGCAAATTTCTCTCCCCGTGGCCCCTTTCAGGCAAACAAGCGTGACGATCGGGCTGCTACTCGCTTGTTTTACAAGGAAAGGGTCGCAGCGGCACAGGTGCAACGATGATGCAGATGATGATGATGATGATGATGATGATGATGATGATGATGATGATGATGATGATGATGATGATGATGATGATGATGAAGAAGAGGAGGAGGAGGAGGAGGAGGAGGATGATAATGATGATGTTGATGACGATGACGATGACGATGATGATGATGATGATGCTGCTGGTGATGGTGATGATGCGTGTGGTGATGATGGTGACGATGTTGATGATGGTGTGGGGGAGGAGTTGGAGTTGGAGTTGAAGTTGGAGTTGGAGTTGGAGTATGACGGGGAGGAGGAGGAGGAGGAGGAGGAGGAGGAGGAGGAGGAGGAGGAGGAGGAGGAGGAGGAAAAGGCCGAGGAGGAGAAACCAGGACAAGGAGGAGGAGGAGGAAGAGGGGGGGGAGGACGGGGAGGAGCCCAGCGTGGGTGGGGAGCGCGTCTCCTTACGCCCACGCCCAGCCCGCGCCGCAGGCCGAGCCACTCAGCCTCGCGGTGTCGACGTCCACGGAGGCGCGCTCGCCGACCGCGACCAGCTGCCCAGCATCAGGTGGAAAGTGGCCCAACGCACCAGGTTTAGGTCGGGCATGTCCCCCTACAGGCGGATTTTTTGACGAAAACCCAAATTATCCGGACGAAAGACCCAACCAGATGCAGTTGTGGGTACCGCAGTTGTCAATACATTCTTCGGTGAAGCTCCCTATAGGGCCACGAAGCGCTGCACTGGGTGGGGGGAACGCATGCGGGCGGTAGCGGTGGGGCCGTCGGTGGGGCTTCGTATGATGCCACGAAACGCTGTACTGGTGGCGGACGTATGCGGGCGGTGCCACTGGGACCTTCGGTGGGGCCCCCTATGGGGCCACGAAGCGCTGTACTGGGTGGGTGAAACGCAGGGAGCAAGGGCGGTGCTGGGTGGTGGCGGGCGCATGCGGGCGGTGCCACTGGGACCTTCCGTGGGACTCCCTATGGGGCCACGAAACAACGTACTGGGTGGGCGAAACGCAAAGGGCAAGGGCTGTGCTGGGTGGCGGCGGACGCATGCGGGCGGTGCCACTGGGGCCTTCGGTGGAGCCTCCTATGGGGCCACGAAACGCTGTACTGGGTGGGTGGAACGCAGGGAGCAAGGGCTGCGTTTGGTAGTTGCGGACGCATGCGAACGGTGCCACGGGGACCTTCGGTGGAGCCCCCTTATGGGGCCACGAAGCGCTGTACTGGGTGGGTGAAACGCAGGGAGCAAGGACTGTGCTGGGTGGTGGCGGACGCATGCGGGCAGAGCCGGTGGGCCCTTCGGTGGAGCCCCCCCTGGGGCCACGAAGCGCTGTACTGGGCGGGTGCAACGCAGGGAGCAAGGGCTGTGCTGGGTGGTGGCGGACGCACGCGGGCGGTCCCACTGGGACCTTCGGTGGGCTCCTTTATGGGGCCACGAAGCGCTGTACTGGGTGGGTGAAGCGCAGGGAGCAAGGGCTGTGCTGGGAGGTGGCGGGCGCATGCGGGCGGTGCCACTGGGACTTTCCGTGGAGCTCCCTATGGGGCCACGAAGCGCTGTACTGGGTGGGTGAAACGCAGGGAACAAGGGCTGTGCTGGGTGGTGGCGGACGCATGCGGGCGGTGCCACTGGGACCTTCCGTGGAGCCCCCTATGGGGCCACGAAACGATGTGCTGGGAGGGTGAAGCGCAGAGACCACGGGCCATGTTGGGTGGTGGCGGGCGCATGCGGGCGGTGCCACTGGGACCTTCCGTGGAGCCCCCTATGGGGCCACGAAACAACGTACTGGGTGGGCGAAACGCAAAGGGCAAGGGCTGTGCTGGGTGGTGGCGGACGCATGCGGGCAGTGCCACTGGGGCCTTCGGTGGAGCCTCCTATGGGGCCACGAAACGCTGTACTGGGTGGGTGGAACGCAGGGAGCAAGGGCTGCGTTTGGTAGTTGCGGACGCATGCGAACGGTGCCACGGGGACCTTCGGTGGAGCCCCCTTATGGGGCCACGAAGCGCTGTACTGGGTGGGTGAAACGCAGGGAGCAAGGACTGTGCTGGGTGGTGGCGGACGCATGCGGGCAGAGCCGGTGGGCCCTTCGGTGGAGCCCCCCCTGGGGCCACGAAGCGCTGTACTGGGCGGGTGCAACGCAGGGAGCAAGGGCTGTGCTGGGTGGTGGCGGACGCATGCGGGCGGTCCCACTGGGACCTTCGGTGGGTTCCTTTATGGGGCCACGAAGCGCTGTACTGGGTGGGTGAAGCGCAGGGAGCAAGGGCTGTGCTGGGAGGTGGCGGGCGCATGCGGGCGGTGCCACTGGGACTTTCCGTGGAGCTCCCTATGGGGCCACGAAGCGCTGTACTGGGTGGGTGAAACGCAGGGAACAAGGGCTGTGCTGGGTGGTGGCGGACGCATGCGGGCGGTGCCACTGGAACCTTCCGTGGAGCCCCCTATGGGGCCACGAAACGATGTGCTGGGAGGGTGAAGCGCAGAGACCACGGGCCATGTTGGGTGGTGGCGGACGCATGCGGGCGGTGCCACTGGGACCTTCCGTGGAGCCCCCTATGGGGCCACGAAGCGCTGTACTGGGTGGGTGAAACGCAGGGAGCAAGGGCTGTGTTGGGTGATGGCGGACGCATGCGGGCGGTCCCACTGGGGGCTTCAGTGGAGCCCCCCTATGGGGCCACGAAGCGCTGTGCTGGGTGGGTGAAACGCATGGAAGCAGGAGGAGGGAGGGGAGAAGGGGGTGGAGGAGAGGAGGAGAGGAGAAGAGGAACGCGGGGACCGTCTCTTCAAAATGAAGACCCAACACCACAGGATGGTTGGGACAAATACCACCAAAATGCAAAAAGTAGGCAAACATGGTAGAACCATCGTCCCCGTAGTATTTTTGTGGAAAAAATATTGTTGAATATTCCCCCTGTAGAGGGACAGGCCCGACTTAACACTAGGTAGTGGATCTGGACCTTCATGATCATGAGTGGGTAGTCGTGCATCATCACATTCTGCGGGCAAGGTGGAGGCCCGCTGCCCAGAGTCGAAGTCGCGAGCGCGAGAATCAACGATGTACTGCTGGAGGTTTACGAGGAAGCACGCCGCGTCGCCAGGCTCGTCATCAGGAAGGACAGGAACAAGCTGGGTAGACTCGATGGTTGGCAATTGTGGTGGGGGGCGCGGAGTCTGAGTCCCCCGCCCCCCCTGAGGATACAGTAAGATCCCACCTGCCCTCTCGGCGTATGTGGTTTAACGTACTCTTGACTTCCCTGTGGCAAACTCCTTTCTTCCCCTGCTCGGGGGAAGGGTTTACTACCCCCCCTCCCCCACCTCCCTGGGCCTGCGTGTGTGTGTGTGTGTGGCTCGAGGCGTTAGAGCGTCTAAGATGGCCCAAGATAGCTCCAAGATGGTTTCTGAAAGCGCAAGAGGGCCTCCAAGATGTCCCACGATACTCAAAGATGGGTCAAGATAGCCACCGATATACCTCCACGCGGCCTCAAAACGGCCCCAAGACGGTTCCAAGTGCCTGCCGAGTCCTGCAAGGACCACCCAGAAAGAATGGATGCCTCCCAAACCTGAGGGCAGTGAATATCGTTTGCGTTCCCGCCTTTTGGCTTCCGATGGGCCTCGGAGGCCTCCAGATGGCCAATCTTGCGCGGCGTACGCTGCCCGGGGTCCCTAAGAGGCCGCTGGGGGGCTTCGCCCGCAACCCTCGCTGCCGCCGCGACGAGATGGTCGAACCCAGGTCTCCGACGATCCGTCTTCTTCGAGGAGTCGCCGCGCCGCCCCGGACCATTCTCGGAGCGAAGCAGCTCCCGGCGCCGCAGGCGCCGGGGTATCGAGGCCTGCGCCGGGCTGCAGGGTCGGAGCCAGCAACGTGCAGCTGGTTTCGTGACCCCCGCTTTCCCGATCCCCCTTCGTCTGGCACAGCTCCCCACCCGGTCCCGATAAACTGGCGGCTCATCCAGAAGCATTTCCCCAGGGCCCCCGAGCCCTGTCGTCGGCCCCCGAGAGGCTGAAAGCGCCAACACGCCTCGGGCGCGACCCCTTCTCGAGCCGCCATGGAGGTCCTGGGTAGCCGTTCCCAGACCCCCGACGCCGCGAGACGTGACTTTTGCGACCAGTCGAGCCCCAAAGGTCTGGACCCCTTCCCCAGGGCCGCCTTGTTCATCCTGAAACATGTTTTACGATGCCGAGGCACGATCAGGGCCACTCGGAGGCAGGAAATCGCGAAAAGCCTCCCGGGGGGTCTGGGTCCCCCCCCCCCCCTCCCGAGGGACGCCAGAGCTGGACCAGGGCGCTCTCGGAGCCCGGGCTCGCTCCTCCCAGCGCCTCCCGCCCGCCGCGCGCGCGGGGGGGGCGGGGCGGCGGGGCGGAGAGCGGCCTCAGGTGCAGCCGCTCCATGAACCTCCCCGCCCCCCGTCGGCCGGAGGAGGACTGTTCGGATCCACCCCGCTCCTTGCCCATACATTGAGGTCGGGCATGTCCCCCTTCGGGCGCATTTGGGACGAAAAAAAAAAACCCAAAGGCAAATGACCAGCAATAATTGGAAAATCGTCCCCAGACTATGTTTTGACTATGTTTAAATATTCCTCCTGTAGAGGGACGTGCGGACTTAACCATACATCCGTGGGGTGTATCCCAGAATTGCCCCCGTATTCTGAGCGGCCAAGCTTTTCGGGTGGAGCTCAGGGATTGGAGGAGAAAGCTCGTCTGCGTCACCCCGCTCCTCCCCCATGCCCCGAAGACGCCCCCACGAGGCCCCAGAAGGCAGCGCGACAATCTTGCTGCAGCGTTGCGGTGCAGCTTTCCCAGGCGCGGTGTTACAATCGCCATCAACAACATCACCTCGCCGATTATTTACGAGTGTGGCCGTGACCATGGCCATGACCGTCGCCGTCAGCAGAATAGCAGCAAAACCCACACAGCAGGTTCGTGTCGTGACGCCGGGCGCGTTGGTTTCTGACACCGCGCGGACCGTTGAACCTGGAACGATCGCGGCGTTCCGACAGCGCTGATGGTCATCGTTCGATGTCGACCGGCTAAGGGGCACTTACCGCGTTCAACCCTGAACGCCCGCGCTAGGCTTGGCGCCGCGTCGACACGACACGAACCTACCGTTAGGTCGGACATGTCCTCCTACAGGAGGTTTTTGTACGGAAAAAGAAAACTGACCCCCAAACTACTCCAAGATGGTCAATACATACTCAAAACATCGTCCACAGACTGTCTGTTTACTATGTTGACAATTCCTCCTGCAGAGGGGCAGGCCCGACTTAAACCTACCGCATGCCGTTGCAAGCGACCATGACCCCGTGCAACGCTCGACCCCCGGCTCTCACCCCGGCTCACCCTGTCGCCCCTCGACCCCCGCCTCCCCTCCCCTCCCTCCCGCCTCCTACGTCCCTCGTCCTCTCCTGGCCCTGTGGCACCGGCGGCCCAAGAAGGCGGAGGCGCATAGGCGGCGAGCGCCGTGGGTGGGGAGCCTTTCTTTTGCCGCCCACTTCGAGGCGGGACCCTCCCTGCCGCCTGCCTTGCTTCCCTTTACAGGAGGGGAACGGTAGGCCTCGAGATGGACACGAGAGCTCGCGGATCTCCCGCCATGCCTGCGTCGCACCACCTTCGTCCCTCGGCCCCTCCTGGTCCTGGGGCACCAGCGGCCCTCCGTCCTCCGCCCGCCCGTCCTCCCCCCTCCGCCGTCTTCTGCCCCCATGGCTCTCCTCTTCCGTCTTCCGGCCTCCCTCCTGAGTCATGGCCCGAGGCCTGTGCGCGGGCCAGGGAGGGCCAAGGGAGTGCACTGAAACAAGAGGAGGGGCCACGGCATTCTGAGATTGAGGGAGACATGGCATGGCCCTGGCAGTGATGTCCCCCCCCGCCTAGTGATCCCCCCCCCCTGGCCGCACCCGAGATTTCCAGACAGAAACCCCTCCCCCTCCAAGACCTCTCGACCCTCTGCCCGCGCCGTGCACTAATAATCACATGCACACATATTTTTTGTAGTAACAAGTCGTACTCATTCCAGATGTTGGCGGCGCGCAGGGGGGAGGGAGGGGGGAAGGCTTCTTACGTTCATAGCCAAGGCGACAAGGCCCGCGCCCTCGAAGAAGCAGGGGTGCTTCTAAGAAGCCCTCCCCCCTGACCCCCCCCCTCTGCGCGCGGCTGAGAAGAAGTGGTCGGTGGCCCCTTCCCATGGGGCCGGCTTCTCATCCTGCGGGGGCGTCCAAACGGGGCCGTACATGAAGGTTCTGCAGGTCATGACCCGAGATACGCCCACGGCCCAGGCCAGGCGGAGACGGCCATGAAGAGGCGGCCATGAGATCCGGGGAGATCTCATGGCCCCAGCCATGATCTCCCTGGCGCGCACAATGGGGCAGGGGGAGGGGGGAAGGCTTCTGGGAAGGAGGCTACTTCTGGCACCGGCCTCACATCTACCGATAAGGCCCGCGCCTTGTAAGAAGCAGGAGCGGTTCTAAGTTCTAAGAAGCCTTCCCCCTTCCCCCTACCCTCCCTCCTTTCTTGGATGCAGTTGTCCTTGAGACTCGACGCCCCATCAGGTTTACTTGTATGGGGAGAGGCGCGGAGAGGCCCGAAATGGAACCTGGACTACGCGCAAGTCGCAGCTCGCTTGTACGCCTTTTCGGCCCAGCGCTGTTTGAAAAGGCGTCGGGACGGAAGGAGGGGGGAGGGGCGAAATACCATGCAGCGCCACGCATGCAAGCTTGCCTGAGTCTGACGTGAGACGCCCTCCTCGTCCTCACCCCCTCCTCGAGGGGCAACAGTGGGGGGGATGACTGGCATGGGGGGGGACGCATCGACATGGAATCGGCGACACATCGCCGACAGATCTGCGATAGGCCCCCCGATAGGGAAACCGCACCTTCATGGGCCGGGTGGGGATATCAGACCCACAATTATCGCTATGTTGCTCCCAACGTACTTAAAGACAACGTCCCATAAATAATTTCGAGCACCTGGAAAAGTGTCGAAAGAGTGTCGAAACAGAGCCGAAACAGTGTCGGACGAGTGTCTCCCAGGGCTAGACACGTGAAAACCCCAGAGCGTCGGTATTTTTTTGGGCGCTCCGAATTCTTTCTGCTGGTAAAGGCTAAAGTAGGCTTGAACATCATAGATAATAGTTTATATATATATATATATATATATATATATATATCTAAAAACACGACTAAACAAATACTCAAAAGATGCTCACCAATACTCAAAACATAGCCCCCAGACTACATCACCTCCTCAAAGCGTTGCCCCTGGCTCCTGGCCCTGGCCGCCCCCGAATTCCCGACCCCCCACACGCCCTGGCTCTCTCTCACAACGTAGATTTTCAGGGTTAGGCCAGGCAGGGGGGGACTTTGGGCGACAAAACTAAAACAGCCCAACACCGCGGGCCCGCGCCCGCCTGTCGAGCAGGGCCTCGGCCCCCCGCGCGCGGAGGTAGCCGGCCTGCGGGCGGGGGACGAGGGCGGGGGGAGGCGAGGACGGGGGTGGGGGGGGGAGGGGAGGGGGACGAGGAAGGGGAGGCTCGGGGGGGGGGCGAGGCGAGGACGGGGGGGTGGAGGGGGGGGAGGGGGACGAGGAAGGGGAGGCTCGGGAGGGGGGGCGAGGCGAGGACGGGGGTGAGGGGGGGGGGGGAAGAGGGAGGGGGACGAGGAAGGGGAGGATCGGGGGGGCGAGGCGAGGACGGGGGTGGGAGGGGGGGAGGGGGGGGCCTCTTGGGCCGCCTTTCGCGTCGGAAAGGCGAGAACGCCCAACTCCTTCCAAAACCTCCGGAACATTTGTGACTGTTGCCTGTGGGGGCCTTCTTGAGAAGCCTTAGGTCGGGCATGTCCCCCTGCAGGCGGATTTCGGGAGGAAAATAAGAAATACCCTAAAAATAATCAAACATAGTCAAAGTGATCAAACCATCGTCCCCAGACTATTTTTTTGACTGTTTTGGAACATTCCTCCTGTAGAGGGACGTGCCTGACTCAAGAGAAGCCTCTTGAAGGCCTCCTGGGGCGCCCTGGAGGGGCCCAACGCCCTGAGGCTCTGCGTGGGGCTGCGCGCAGGCGGCCGCGGGCCCAGGCTCGGGGCACCCCCCTCGCGGGGCGGCGCCCTGCCGCTGGCAGGGCCTCGGCCTCTCGCTGTCCTCCTACTCCGCCTCGTCCTCCTCTCTCCAAGACTCCAAGACTCCGCAGCGTCTGGTCACTCATGAGCGGCCGGCGCCCGACTACGATACGGGGGGACCAACAGAACTGGGACCAGCCGAGGAGGACAAGGCAGGGGCAGGCAGGGGAGAAGGAAGAGGGAAAAAGGGAAGAGAGGAAAGGGGAAACGACTGGCCCAGTCTGTGTTTGGTCCCTGGAAGGAGCCCCCGTAACAGCTTGGAACGCTCCGAGCTCTTGCGAGGGGGCTCACACGCTGCACTGAGGAGGGCGCTGCCACGGCTGGTGGCAAACCCTCCGCAGGAAACGCAAAAAATCACAGGCATGTCACTCTCTTCGACTCGGGCCCAGTGCAGGTGATGCCCCGAGCCCCCTCCTCCACAGAGGAGGTCCGACAGAGCAGGGTTCAGGGTACCGCACGGGGTCTGGGTCTTGGAGGAAACCTGACGCAAACAACGTTGACACCGCTGGATATTCCCGTGCCAAACAGGAAAATGGTCGGATTTCAAACGGGGAGGCCTCTCGGCCCTAGGGGGCCGCTTCAGCTTCCCAAACTGGGCTTCACAAGTAGGGAAACCACACAGAATGTCGAGGACACCTACGACTAAAGATTCGTACTCGCCCTCCGCATTTTCAAAGTCAGCTAACTCCTGAGGCGAGACGTCGTGGGCCCGAGCCCCTAGCCTCGCCCAATGGTCGGCGGCAGTAGATCCTTGAATGTCCCGCGCATCATTTTCGTCCACCGCGTCGGACAACTTGCGGTGGGCGCCTACCTTGCGGAGAGAGATCCAACTGCTAGTCCCTATGTCCCTGGCTATGGACCTCCAGAAAAAGCTGCTCCGAGAACCTCCCCCCAGGGCCCTAACAGGAGACCTCACACCCAGGAACAAAGCCGAACAGTCCACGGAAATGGCCTTGGGAGGAGGTTCGCTGGCACGTTCTTGCCTCAGCACAGCTAGGGCTAGGGCAGCGTGCTCTGCATCTCCAGGGGTCTGTGCAAATTCACTGGGAAGAGGACTGTAGACTCCCCTCCTACAGGTCCCGTCATCATTCATCTCGACAACGGAGACCCCTGACCTGGCGATTTCGGGCCGAGTGTTGTGGAAACAGGACCCGTCAGTGAAGAGGTTCGCTTCGGGCCCGAAGACAAAAGCATCTACTGGTTCACCCTGGGCACCGAAAAACTGCAAACACCAGTCCTTGCTCGGTGGGGGCACATCAGGATACGCAGGCCACAACCTGGAAAAAATAAGAATATTTTCATCACATCCTAAAGCCTGCTGAATGAGCTCTGTACCAAAATGCTCAGCACGGCGTCTTGTAATGTCGGGGTCCTGACATTCCCAGCACCTGTGCCTCAAAGTGTCCCGACCTGCTCCACACATCGGGCACAAAGGATCGACTTCGTAGCCCCATTTCCTGAGGGTCTCTCCTGTCGGTAGGGCACCTGATAGTACTTGAAGATACAAGTGCTTTGCTTGACTACCAAGCTTCTTGGCAACACGCTGAATGAGAGGGAGCCAGACCCCACGAGCAACCAAGTCCTGGTTCCCAGGGTGCGGGTGGGTCTCAAGACCCTTGGTAAAAAACTTGTCAAGGAACACTTGGGCCAGATCGGCCACGAACTTTTCCCCAATCTGAGACGGGGGGGATTCAGTCAAAGTCCAACGACGGCCAGACCGATCCAGAAAAACCGCGGGACCCTCCCAGGTCCATCCTCCAGCTTCGAGCCAGAGGAGCATGGCCGATATCGGCCCACGGGTCCGAAAAAGCCAGGGTTTTCCCCGAGTCCCTTGGAAGACTTCGACACTCGAGTGAAACACTCTGCTTAAAACACCTGGAGTCAGCGCATCCTGATGCCTCGGGCCTCCGTGCCTACTCACTTCAGAACTGTGCCACCATTCCCAGCAGTATCTGCGTACGCAGCCACCTGCCAGCACGATGGGGTCGCCTTTGCCCTCAATGGCCCACAGGAGGTCCAAGTTGCACCCTTTCTTACTGATCCCACAGACTCGCCCAGCAGCCCTTCTAATAGATAAGAGTTCCATCGGAGACACACCCTGGATGTCGAGCCCATAGGACACCGTTGGGAGGATCCCACCTTTGAAGAGCCTTTTCTTGAGCTTCGTGGAGACCTAGAGGCCCGAGAGCTTAGTGATCCGAAACTTGAATTTCTTGGTCCTCTTCTTCATGACAAGGCGAGCGAACGGCCGCAGCTGGTGCTTGCCACCTGCAAAATCCACTCCGAGGTTGGCTGGTGCAACAATGCCCTGTCCTGCTAGTGTCCCTAGCTTCCCTTTGATCGTGGTCAAGATGGTCAAGCTGTTACCAGTGGCAAACATCTTCTTCTCAGCTAGGGGCACTCGCAAACTCTGTGAAATGGTCCAGGCCAAGCTGACCGCAAGTTCTCGTAATTGCTGAACGCAATCATCTACATTATGATGCCACGCATGCACAGAGAGGTCATCGACATGTAAACTCATACTCGTACAATCAAGCCCCCTGTGCCCAACAATGGTGGGGAGGAGGAACGACTTGGCCTCGTAGGTGGCTGACGTGGACCCCGCTACGATCCCTCTCCGAGGAAAAAGGGGTTCGCCGTACCCCCCATCGAGGAGGAGAATCCTCTTCCACCGATAAGTCGAAATAGTATATAAAAGAATATACAGAGGGAACTCAGATAAAATACTTTGCTGGAGGAGCTCTTCGTGACAAATGTGCTCGTAGAACTGCAGCAAGTCCCACATGAGGGCCCCGTAGTGAATCTTCTGTCCCGAATGTAATTCTGCCGATACAGACTGCCGCCACACCGTGTCGAGGGCACTGCGGCCCTGTCCCATGGAAAATTCAGGGCCCAATCCGACTTTGGATTCCCAGGATCTACATGGGTTTCTGTGCGTCTTCCCGTGGAGCCTCGCGAACCCACAGTAGTGTCCAATAGGTCGGCGCCCTTTCACTGGTTTACTCATAAGAAATACAATGAGCTGCTGAATCCTGGATGGCCCCTGACCCAAGACATCGACCAAATGAAATAGCCACGACAGGGCAAGGAGCGCACCATCAGATAACAGTGAGTAGTGTCTTGGATGAAACCCATCAGGGGTACATGTCTGCCTCTTGAAACGGGAACTGATATGCCGCAAAGCTACGGGAGCTACACGCTCCCCCACTGGGATCCTTCCCTCAGGAAGGTCGAAAGGAGGCAGCTCAACTCGAACGTCACTTGCATTCCACGCCGCCTTCCACACTTTGGTTTCAGCAGCCAGTCGAGCAGGTAGGGAACTGGAGTACACCCCATTATCCGAGACAGCTTCTTCGGATACTGGTTCTCCACTGCGTAAAAAAGCGAACGCCTGCTTCATATGCCCACCTACTGCTTCAGCACACCATTCTTTCCACGAATCCCTGGCCCTGGATCTGTCTTCAACGAGACCGACGCGAACCCACAGGCCGACGAATTCCAGGAGCGAGTCGATACGGTCGATGATAGTATTCAAGAGTGGTGTGCCAACTAGCTCTTGAGCAAATACCGCCAGTACAGGGTGCCAGAACTCGCCCCCAGCTTTCCAGTGCCTCCTGAAGGGACCCCCTCGAACTGGAAGACGTTGCCATTGCCGCAGGAGCCCCAAGAGGTAACCTTCCCTGCCGCCACGAAGAAATAGAGATCTCAATTCTTGGAGCCTATGGAGGACCCATTCCAACGCACGTCCTGGAAAGGCGTTCTCGTACTGTTTGGTAACCAGAAGCGATCTGAGAGGTTTATCCTTGAACTGCAAGTCGGATCCCCCAGGGAGCCCAGGCGAGTCCCTAGCTTGACACACGTCCAAGATTTCACCCCAGGCCTGGGAGACCCAGATATCATACACTCGATCCAGAAGAAGAGCTCCCTGGGATTTATCAGCCCTTGTGGCCATGTAGGAATTCCCATCAGCATCTTGCAAAGGTAGGAGGAAGCTCTCAATGTCTTGTACAATCAGATCATAGCTGGGAGGAGCAGGCGCAGGACCCACTGCAGCGAGAGGTGGCACGTGTTGAAACTTAACAGGGACTTTGACATAGATATCCTTCAGAGCCCTCTTCACAGAAAAACAGACTGGCCTGTGCGGACTGTACGAGCCATCTATATCTGTGAATACCTGTCCTGCAGCAAAATCTAAATGCTTGCTGACAATGAAGTAGTCAATGACTGAGAAAGCTTCTGGGGCCACGAACGTGGATGCAATAGGAGCCCTGATAACTCCTGCAATCTGCACAAGTGGGGCGTTGCTGGCCATCACGCTGGGTCCCATGTTGAAATCT